CAGCATTAAGCTACTATTTTACACTGGTATTTTCTGATAGCATGGTCCTTCCCCGGTTGAGACGACCCATTCGTGTTACAAATATACTACCAATATAACTGCAGTATGGCTCTCGTCTTTAGTCGTTTTTGAGCAATCTAACCGCTGTCCGAGTGAGGGAGTACGGACCCGCGCCTCTGACTGCTCAGCTCGTGTCAGTCGATGTTCTGGTTCCGTACACCTGCGTACCACCCAGGTACGGGGGTGTACGGTGTGTAAGCGGTGTGTGCTGAAACGCGTAGTGTCCGCCTACGGGTGAGATGCGCCCCATCCGTTATCCTATGAGTGCTTGTCAGATTTGGTGTTGGTATAGTGTTATTGTGTCGTGTGTCTGCGACGTTTGGGTCAACGGGATAGAGCGAGCGGAAAATTGTTTGTGATACTCTTCACTAATTTACTTATATTGTATTTTTTATAGAATAAGGAGGACAAACGACAAACTAGCATATACCTGATGATAAGTGGATGCTCTGGACCAGACACATTTACATTTACAATGTTTTTTTTTCAGTTCTCTTTTGCAGTTTCTACTTAATTGTCGCCAGTCAGACGGTGGTACGATTCCTTTTCTCTATAGGAGTAGAGCCGTGGTAGCTCAGATGGTTAACGCTCGCTGTAAATATAACAGAACGCGAGTAACCCGGGTTCGAACCCCGCCGGCACCAATGAAATTGTTAATTGCAATTTTAAGTGCTGATTTACCACGTGCTCGGCGGTGAAGGAAAACATCGTGAGGAAACCTACATGTCTGAGGAATAAGAAAAAAAATATTTCGAAGACATGTGAAGTTCGCCAACACGCATTGGGGCAGCGCGGCGGACACTTCCTTGCCCTAAAACCCCCTCAGAAATGAGGGAAGGCCTGTGCCCAGCAGTGGGGCGTATATAGGCTGTAACTTTACTTTTACTTTTATATGAGTCCGTGTGGTAGGAGCCACCCTCGTGGCAAGCAACACTGCGTACACCGCGTGAAGGGCACAAGGAGCCAGTATATTTTCAGTCTGTGAGACATAATGGCATCTATTATTGTTTAGATTTTCATAGTCTGCAACAGCCGCTTACCATCGGATGGTCTATAAGTTCTTTTGTCACATCGGTTTTATTACTTTTTATAACCACCTATTTTATATTTTTGTATACATTGCGGCTGAATGGCGGACACTTTCCGATAGAAAATTGAGAAGGACAACGTGCTAATGAAATACAAGCGGTTAATAGCAATAATTTTAATGGTAATGAAACATTTCACAAAGTCCTTAATTTAGATTTGGTTTCTATTGGCCACAGTATTTACTCATCATCAAGTTGAATGTATGCTCGTTCGTTGCCAACTCCCTTGCAAAGCGTGGCCACTATGGCAAATATCGCCCCTATGAGGCAGTCTATGGAGGAGTCTTATGTTCAGTAGTGGACTTTAATAACCTGTAACGATAACAGAATTCAGATTTCAATTGATAGCTCAATAAAGCAGTGGCTAAGGGCTCGGTCAAGTCGCTGCAGGACCACTATACGATACTCGCGCGTATCAAGTGTTTGTATTATAATGTATGGTTCCGGGTCTGCATGTTTGTAATATACGAGAAAATACTCGAGTGGGAGCAGTTTTTTTAGAATATCTAAATAGCTGTATCTTACAAACGACGCTCGCGCTGTCCGTCGCTGACATTCATTCATATATTATTATATATATATATATATATATATATATATATATATATATATATATATATATATATATATGTTAACGCTGCTAGACCCACGCTGCAATTATATATATATAATCGGAATCTCGGAAACGGCTCCAACGATTTTCATAAAATTTAGTGTCCAGGGAGTTTTGGGGGTTTCAATAAATCGATCTAGCTAGGATTTATTTTTAGAAAATGTCCTTTTTTCCGTGTTTTCAGGCAATAATAAAACTGCTACAATATAAGAAGGTAAATTTTGACAGACTACTAACGATCATAATAGCTCAGGTGGGATGTCGGTCGGGCGTGATGTCGGAGTTCCGTGGTTCGCGTCCCGTCTTGGGTCCGACTTTTTTTCCTTTTTTTTCAAATTCCCTTCTTTGGTGAGAAAATCTATTATTTCGAGCCCTTTTTTTAGTAATTTTAAAAATAAGAAAAATTTTAATTATACTAATCACACTCATAATTTTCATTCAAATAACCAGTTCAGTTTTTTCTATTATGTCAATAAAATCAAAAAATATTATTCATGTAATTTGTATCTAAATGTAACTTAAAAAAAACCGAGCAAAGCTCGGTCATCCGGGTACTTATTATTAACGCTGCTAGACCCACGCTGCAATTATATTTTAGACCGGGAAAGAAACACACTCTCACGAAATACTAGCGTAAAATTAAAAATATTAATACTGCTGTATATCATATGGTGAGTACAGAGAACAGGAGACCCATCTATACCGGAAACGAGACATTCCATGTTAGTCCTCACGGGTGACAACGATCGAGGATAAATGGGCCACAGCATCCACTTGCCATCAGGTGGACTGTGTGCTAACTTGTGATCCATATTCTTACCACATTATTAACAAAAAAGGTAGATTGTTGGTAATTTTTAGTCAAATAAGTTATGTTTAAGTTTTGCTGAAAATAAGAGTAAAAGTAAAGTACGTATTGTAGGCTAAGAAAAAAATTCCCGTTTAACGAAACTTTCGTTTCGTGGGCGTCGAATGAGACTATGGAAAATTTCAGAAAGATCTCATGCCTTTCGATACATGACCTATGACAGAAAACCGCGTCAAAGGTGGGAGACACCTGATAAAGAAGAAAATGGAAAATAAACGTAAAGTAACATACAACAGTTTTTCTCTCAATTTCTAAGATGGTTATAGATTAAGAAATACAGTGTCGCGGCGCACTTTTGAAGAACATCTCAAGAATGTGTTAAGTTCATACAGGTATCCTTTCGCCTGAGCAGTTAGTAAGACAGTACTTGAAACTGCGATTCTAAATTTCATCCTTGAACTGATTATCCTTATTTACTGTGTAAGTACCTTGGAAAGAGTATTTTGGATAATAAACTGAGAACACAAATCAAGAATCACGAGTTCGGCATCGAGACCACCGGGAGCTCAATCCGTATCCGTCTTCTGTAGAATAGTAATCATCCAACCCACGCATCGATCTTCCCACGAAGCAGCAATTTAATAGATCTTTTAATTGGATTTCTTATTGAATTACAATTTAATTAGTTCCGATTCCGTAATTAATGACCGTTTAGTATTGTTACGGTCGGTCTTGATGGATGGCTGAGGCTCCCAGCAGTTAGCTGCCATATTTTTCAATTCTCGACATGTAATCACATTGTGATTAATGGTTTGCGATCGTTGAAAGCCGGAATCGGATAGCCCCTTTGGATTCCGTTTTGGTTATGTTTTGCATACTTGGATGATTGCTTACGCTCATTGATTATTAATAACAATTTTGAAAAACATTTCGTTTTATTTTTGTTATATGTACTTTAAATATTACCGGCCAATGATGTAATATAGCATTTCTGCTTATGGTACGAGTATGTTGCCGGCGAATAAGAGTAAGCAATTACTTACTAATGGAATATTAAATTATTTTTAGTCGAATTTTATTTTAGTGATTATTCTATATTTATCCACGATCGGTCTAATGTACCTATGCGTGTTTTTGTCAAAAACATTGGCGTCTGCGTACATAACATAGCAGTGTTTCATCGACATTTTATGAATGATATTGTTGTGCGCCGTAATTAATGCCAGGTAGGTACATGGCGAGCTACCACTAACTTGGCCCACCTGGCCACCATACCAGTGAATTGGCGACTCAAGCGAATACTTCGAAGTGATACAACGCGAACTAAAGTGATCAGTAGTACAATTGTGTTTATATTATTAGTGTGTATATATTATTGCTGTGTTTTAATTTGTAATTGGTGTTCTGTAATTAAAGTGTAAATTTAAGTAATTCCATCGGCAGTTTTTACTGTCACGAACACCAAGCTCGTAACAATATTATAAGAACGCATAATAAACAATAAACGAACAAAAAAATCATAAATCGTTTTTGTCAGAAACCTTCGCAGGCGCACGTAAAACTCACCAAAGATTCATCCTAATTCGATGAATAGTGTAATTATATAAATCACTCTGAAAGTGACATTCAAAGAAAGGAATTAATAAAATAGACCTTAAAAGTTTCAAATTAGTATATTTAAAACGGATATTTCTCATTAATATAATTGAAGAAATGTAAAGATGACGATTCTTAAATCGTTATTATTTCATGAATCTGTAACGAACGTATTTTATTTCTTTGACGTAATTATAAAGTAAACAAAGTCATTCAAATCATTTAAAAATGTTGGATCTTATGCCAATAACGAAAAATTCTTCACATTTTCGTGTCATAACAAATATTTTTCTTGTAATAATTTTTAATTACAGTAAACCATCATATCAATTTTTGATACGTTAAAAACAAGGATAAATGAATGGTTTTAAATGCCTTGATCTAATTTCTATGGACGATATTCATCGAAATCGATAATTGACATTTTATTAATATTTTGCAAAAGGCACGCCAATATATTTTATTGTAAAGTACAATACAATGGAAAATTATGTTACATTTCCGTAATTATTTTAACTCTTAATCTATTTACGAATATCTTACATCTACAATAAATAACAATAAGGCCTATAACTGGACGGATCCGAATTAACACTTTAAAAACATCTTAGATTAACACAATGTTCTAAGTTTATGGATATAAACATACCTCAAAAACTATCTTACAAGGCGATAGAAGTTTGTCATGATAGTATTTTTTTAAACAATTACTACGAAAAATCTTTTTCTTATTTGAAAATGTTTGTATATCAAAACACCAAGAAGTAAAGTTTACAATAATATACAAACGGAAAAAATACGAATTACCTATTTTGTATGCTAATTTGAATGGAGCTCAACTAATTAGGTCTGTGTGATGTCTTTGTCTAAGCATTTCTAATCTTAACTCATGTTCGCGCGCCGCCATTCTTAACGCAGCAATGCTAGAGCTCCTGCTTTCTACTTCTGGCCCAGGGTGCGTTGGAGGCGACTCGCTTCCGGGTGATATGGGAGGGGAGACAGAAGGAGGATCAGGTGACTGTCTTGGGGGCGCAGCTAAACCAGCTAGAAGAGAATGAAAGGGAGGGCTGGTTGTGTAAATGGGCGCACTAAATAACGGCGGTCTCGGCATGGGCGCTCCAAGGTACTGCGTGCTCAGAACCGGCGTTCCTCCGTACCTAAATAAAAAAATTTGAATGTCAACAACGGTGGCAGAAAATCAAACTTTTGTCTACAATAGATTATATACGAGAAAAAATATTGCAAATTAATTTAATGAGTAGTTTATTTTTTCGTTAGTACTTCGAAGCTCGTATATAACAAGTGTGTGCTTGGTTTGTGTAATGAATACAGGAGAAAATCTTACTGTGGCGATAAGGCTTTTTCTTTAAATTAATGAATTGGGCGGAACATTTGGTCTCCGATAGTACGTAATTTTCAAACCGGTGACAGAACGTATAGTCAAAGTGCGAAACTTCTGTTACTAAGACTTCTGATCCGCCAGCCAAGTGCGGCTGTAGGAGACTTTTGTAACTTATGTCCAGCTATGGGCTACTTACGGGATGAAGAGATATTTAACTTAGTGTACTTGATTGCAATGTCCAGCAGGATTCGAAAATCGAAAAGTAGTACATTAGTAAAGTAGGTACATTAGGAAGAAATAAAGTACGCCACAGTCAGAATGAACCAAGATTTATTATTTTTGAAAGTAAAATAATATCCTTATTAGAAAAGCAAGCTCCGATACCTTCATAAATTATGTTTTAATATGTATATTTACCTAAACGATGCTAAGGCGTTTGTGTCGAAGGTCTTTCTGAAGCCAAAGCCTAACTGTGAAAATGGGTTAGGCATGGAGGCGACCACAGACGGCGGTGGAGCCCCGGCCGCACTCAGGTACGGATTGTAGGGATGACCTTGCGGTCCCACTTTCTCCTGTTTGCGCCATTTCGCGCGGCGGTTTTGAAACCATACCTGGAATCAATGTTATTTGTTAGGAACTCATTATATATATATATATATATATATATATATATATATATATATATATATATATATATATATATATATATATATATATATATATATATATTTCTTAATTAGATAATATATAACATGTTACCGCAACCATGTAATGGAGGTGTAAGAATATCCACTAGCACGTATTTTCTCGTTAGTGTCGTAAGTGGCGACAGAGGAAAACTTACATAAGAGATAGGCAGTTGCACGTTCCCGACCCACTTGCTAAATATGGGAACCATGGCAAAGTCACTCCTTGAGAACATCTATGGAGTGTAATAAACAACCGTGTGGTGGCTGCGGTAGAGGACCCATCACACTATTTCATCTTGTGGATGTTCTAAGAGGCATCTATGACTCATGCCAGGTTAAAATGGATGGATTGAACTTACAAAATATTTAATTAGGTAATAATTTACGTGAGGGTAATATGATCACCTTAAGCTTTACGGCCCCATGAAACGAAAACTAGGAGGAGGACAGAGACAAAAACACAAAGTCATATATTATAACTATTATATTGCGAAAAAAATAGCAAACAAGCTCTGGCAATAATTAGGAACACTTCGAAATATCAACTTAAAAAAATATAACTACACTACACAGTATTAAAGTCGACTAAAATATTTACTATAATGTCAATGGTCGATAAAGCTTTTGACCCTTTATTATTCGATTGACTGACGAAGAGTTATCGCATCGCAGAGCTATCTATGCAAACAAGGCTATAGTTAGTGAGTTATAAGAAAGTGTCCATATTAACCGGATGACCATATTATCCTCACGTACATATCATTACACATAGATATCATTCAGTATTCCGTTACCTGCAAATCTCTATTAAAGTTATACAGAATTTGCAATATTTTTATACAAATTATATTATGTTTACAGAGGTTATTAAATATTAATTAAAAAGACAAAAGCCAGAACAAATTTGAAATACATCTTAAAGCCTACTTATCTTCTATTGTCAGAAATGAAGTGCAAAATTTAATTATGTACGTTTCGACATTCAGAGGATAAATAAATTAGCGTATTTATAATAAGGCATGTGCGCGCTGCCGTCTGGTGATTGATTATACGTGTTCCTCAATTTACTTGTATTTATGTTTTTAATCTTACCACTAAAATGAATTATGGTGTTTTTTTAAAAATGTTTTTATTTTTTTGTTTGTAACTGCGAAGATAATTCATTAACCATAAACTTAAAATGTTTGTTTTAATTTTGCGTTCACTGTTTTTATGTAGATAAGATATAGAAACATTTTTGCCAACTTTATTGCTAGTTTCTTTTTTTGCTTGTTGTCTCTGAGACCGTTGACCCTAAATTTGGCAAACTTGATGCTTGGGAGGCGAATAGGTGCTACAGATGTAGAACAAATATCTCTCATACATTTGACGATGCTCCCATGTTCAGATTTGGGTATTTTACATATGGCGTATATCAAATTAAATTTTTGGAACATGTGAGCCGACTATGGAAAGTAGAGATGGGCCGAATATTCGTTTTATATTCGGTATTCGGCATATTCGGCAGGTTTACCGAATATTCGTATTCGGCCGAATATTCGGCTAAATCACCGAACATTCGAACCGAACATTTTCATAGTGTCCAATGTATTGAAATGTACGAATTAAGTAATGCGATGTACTTTACTGTTGAAAGTATATTTTATTTATGGGTTAAGGAGATATAGTAAGTCAGCTCAAATTCTAATTTCACCCCCACTTCCCCACGCGTCGTATGCTATGTACCGACATGTTTGTAATCACTAATACTGTAAGTAGATAGGTCGTTAGATACTTATTTCGTTAGGTTTATCATATTTATGCCAACCCAGTCGCTTCTTATTTTTATAACGGTTATTTCCCATTTTAATTTTACGTCGTCCTGTTGCGTAATGTGTATTCTGATCGTAAGCGACACAACTTCTCCCTTCAAAAGCCGGAGCGATACTAACGGGTAACGGGGCGACAGGAATCAAGCTTACGCGCCGATAGTTTAGGTAATTTCTTTTTTACAGTGAAAATAATGGTATTTAAAAAAAGTAAATAACATAAGCACTGCTTTATAGTTAGTTCAGTTAGTATGCAAAGTTTCATGATCTTGTTTAAAGTATATTATGAATAACAGCGGTTTATTGTTCAGTTTGGAGGTAACTTTGGATTTTTTTCTATCGAGATAATTTTACGGAATCGTGTTTTCGTCTAACATAGTCCTTAACATTAATCCTCAACTTTACCATATATTTATTTCAAAATTAATGCTGCTAATACTTTTGGCATAACGCAGGATCTTGCTAAGCCATTTGAGGTTATATTTTCCCTTAAATCTACTTACTCTAAGAATGCCTCAAATGCATAAATCTATACATTTATGTTTTTGAGGCACTGTGGATTTATTTCCGATTATGGCAAATAGAAACTTGATAAAATGTTTTTGGAATCAAACAAAGAAACATTAAATTACATTAGTACATTTCACTTTACTTTGGTCGTCAGTTTCTCTAAAATAAGTCCAAATAGTAAATCTCCTGCCGCTCATTTTTATCATATAATTATCAATTTTAACTAAGAATAAAATTCTTACGGCTTTTTACCTTATTCACTAAGAATAAAGAGCCATGGTACTCACTAGCGCTCGCTGAAAATTTCACAGTGCACGACTAAACCGAGTTCGATCCCCGCTGGCACCAATGAAATTATTAATTGCAATTTTAAGTGCTAATTTACAAACATTTTGAAAATATCGTGAGGAAACCTGCATGTCTGAGAAATAAGAAAAAAATTATTTCGAAGACATGTAAAATTCGACAACAAGCATATTGGGGCAGTGCGGTGGACAATTCCTTGCCCTATAACCCTCCCAGAAATGAGCGGAGGCCTGTGACCAGGAGTGGGACGTATATAGGCTGTAACTTTAACTGTAATTAAGAATACAACAACGAAATACTTTTTTACCACAAGAATAGTCAAAACGTAAGCATGTGCCAGCAATTTGCTCAGTACTAGACAATGCAATAACATGTCAGGTGTGGCAGGAAGCGAGAGGCAGGGTCCGGCGCTAATCCCGTGTGCTTTACGGTAACAAGTTTCGACATAAATTGGTTAAGTCCCGAGGTTATCCTGCCGAATAATGTTCGGTCCGAATATTCGTATTCGGTGAAATCCATATTCGGCCCATCCCTAATAGAAAGTACCAAAATTTGTGGCTTAAAACCTTTATACTGATATCTAGAAAAAATAACTAGGAAAAATGGCGGAGGAGTCTCTAACACCACCAGAACATGGAACGTGTGTACTCGTATGTGTATTGTAAAGTATTTATAAGTATCGATCAAACACTTGATCTCAAATAACTTGATTAATTAGTTCCCGAAATTCATCCAACATTCAACATTCAACACATGGCAACAAAAAATGATACGATACGAAACAATCATTAAGCAAACTGTTATTTTTATGTTAATTCAAATTAATTCACTTATGATAAATGTGGGATGGTAAAAAACTCTAGCTGCGTTTCTGTAAACGTCGGATGCGGTTTTAACGGATGCTGCGGCGAAAAAGAAATACTGCTTAAGGTCAGTTGATTCAACAACAACCTAATGTCAGTTTAAATGCCAGGCGGCTAAAGACTATTTTTAAACGCTCTATACGATTCTCTTAAGATCACAATGATCATTTTTAAAAATATGACTTCATACGGAGTTGGGCTCTCGAAATTTTAAATGTTGTAATTGGAAGCAAACACGTCAGCGGAATGCCGAGTACAGCCTACACAAAAAGATGCCGGTCGCGTCCCAGGTGCCAGCTTTAATAGCTTAAAAGAGCAGAGTATTAAGGTAATGACTCGTCTCGACTCTCGGCTCAGTTAGGACATGGCAGCCATAAAATGCCGCTATGTAATATTTCGCACAATAAGCCGTATTATATACCATGTTACATCTAAGTTCAGAGTAAATATAAGGAGTACCAATTTTTTCTGATATTAAAATAGCTATTTTATTCAGTTATTTCTTTTGTCGTGTCTAATAAAACTGCACTTTGTCGCTTCGTGATGGTGTTTGTTCACTATACAATAGTGACAAACGAGATCACTTTTTTGAATTAATTGGTTCATGTAAACCGAAGGTTGCAGACCTTCAAAAAACTGGTCTAGGTACGACCCGTAAGGTCCACACAACTAACTTCCCAGTAGTAAGAATAAAAAAATATCATATGTTTTAATATTTTGTACAATTTTTCGTTCGGCACAAAAACGACTTGACCGATTTTGCTCAAAATTTAATGAGGTCTAAGTTACATAATTATTAGAGATGGGCCGAATATGGATTTCACCGAATACGAAGAATATTCGGCCGAAAGTTCGGTAAAACTTTTACCAAACCGAATATTCGGCCGATCATTATTTGGCAGGATCACCTCGGTACCTAACCAATTTATGTCGTAACTTGTTACCGTAAACAGCACGGGATTAGTGCGGGACCCTGGCCCTCGCTCCCCGCCACACCTGACATGTTATTGCATCATCTAGTACTGAGCAAATTGCCAGTACATGCTTATGTATTGACTATTTTAGTGAGAAAAAAGTATTTCGTTCTTATCATTCTTAGTGAAAATTGATAATTATATGATAAAAATGAGTGGCAAGGAATCTACTACTACTACTATTTGAACTTATTTCGGAGAAACTGACGACCAAAGTAAAGTAAAATGTACTAATGTGATGTAAGGATTCTATGTTTGATTCCAAAAACATTTTATCAAGCTTTCTATATGCTATAATAGGAAATAAATCTACAGTGCTTCAAAAACATAACGCTATACAAGTAGACTTTACCCATAAATAAAATATACTTTCAACAGTAAAATTATGATAGACAATAGACATGGAAATACTCAATTCGTACATTTCAATACAGTGGACATTTGAGTAGGTACTACTTTAA